TGCCTTCCCTGGCGAGCAGGGCTGGGACAGCCTGCTGGGGCCTGGAGCGGAGAGACTGCCCCTGCACAGTACCCCCAAGGGTGGGCCAACACCAGACTGTGGCCTTGGGGGGCAGTGGGAGCCCCAGAGGCCTGGGCTTCTTGGGAAGCAGGACTGGGGCGGTGGCTCTCCTTGCTGTCTGCAGTCTCCAGGCCTCATCCACTTCCTTTCCTTGACAGATGGAGGTCCAGGGCCTGGGAAGGTTCCCTGGCCAGGAGACTTTGGCACCACAATGAAAGAGAATGGTGGTAGCGGGGCTCCTGAGGAGCGGCCCAGGGAGAATGGAGACGCCATATCTCGGGAGGGGTCGCTGGGCCCCCTTCCAGGCCCTTCTATCCAGCCTCACAAAGGTGAGTGGGGCACCGCAGCTGCCACATCCCGGTCAGCACCCTTTCACTGCCCTGTGGCTGCTGGGGCTCCCTGGGAGCCCTTGCTCCTCCTGCCTGCTTCTCATAGTGCCCACCCTCCTGGCCCCCAGGCATCCTCAAGAAGAAGTGTCTGCCCACCATCAGCGAGAAGAGCAGCCTCCTGCGGCTGCCCCTGGAACAGGGCACAGGGTCGTCTCGGGGCTCCTCAGCCAGTGAGGGCAGCCGGGGTGGGCTGCCTCCCCGTCCTCTGCCCCGGCAGAGCCTCCAGGAGCAGCTGAATGGGGTCGTGCCCATCGCCATGAGCATCAAGGCGGGCACCGTGGATGAGGACTCGTCAGGTTCCGAGTGAGTGGGGCTGGGTGGTCAGGACAGGGTGCTGCCTGCGGAGGTCCTGGCGGGGTGCAGAGCTGCTCTGGGCCTCCCAGGCTACTCAGATCAGCATTTGGAGGACAAATGGGCTGAGCAAGATCCAGCTCCCTCCTGTCCCCAAAACCACTGGGGGGTGGGCCAGCACGCCCTGGACTTTATGTGTCAGAACCCAGCGCTGGGCATCGGGCAAGGTGAGGGAAGGTGGGGAGCTGGGCTGCTTTTCTGTCTCCTTCTTCTGGTGAAAGCTTCTCGCTGTCTCCTCTGCCCCAGCTAACCTCTGTCTGCCTTTTCTGCCACTTTCCTTTCCTGCCTCTCCAGATTTCTCTTCTTTAACTTCCTGCATTAACCCTGGGCCGGTGGTTCCTACGTCCCGAGGCTCCCTTCCCCTCCCCAGCTGCACTCATGCCCCCACTCCTGTCTTGTGCTTTATCCTGCCCCTGCTCCCCACCGCCTGCCTGCAGCAGCGACGAAACGTCCATCTGAGGAGACTGGGCTTTGCACCTAAGGCCATTTAGTGCCAACTCCCCTCCCTACCATTCCCCTCACTGCACTTTGGACCCCTGGGGCCAACATCTCCAAGACAAAGTTTTTCAGAAAAGAGGAAAAAGGAATTTGAAAAGGATCTCCACTCTTCATGACTTCAGGGATTAATTTTTTTTATACGCTGGAAACTGACTCCCCTTTCCCTTCCCAAAGAGGATAGGACCTCCCAGGATGCTTCCCAGCCTCTCCTCAGTTTCCCATCTGCTGTGCCTCTGGGAGGAGAGGGACTCTTAGGGGGCCTGCCCCAAACGGAAAGGACAAAGCCACACGCACCCCAGGGCGTCAGACCCTGCAGGCTGCGCTGGGCAGGCCTCAGTTGCTCACGGCGAGGGATCAGGCCAGGGCGTGCCTCGCCTGCCTGTGCTGCCTCCCCCAGGAACTGAAAAGCCCTGTCCGGCCAGGGGGAAGAAGGACTCATCGCCCCTGGACCCCCAAATGCTGCATGAACATGTTTTAAGGGGGCCAGTGGCCCCAGCTCTTCTCCTTTCCCTGGACTGTGGCCATGTGCTGCGGACCAGGTGTTTGCTCAGTTTGCTGACCCCAAAGTGCTTCATTTTTCCTGCTCACCCACTCCTGGGAAGGCCAGTCGTGTGTTAAGTTGCGCTTCTTTGCTGTCGGGTGGGTGGGGTGGGGAGGAAGAGTAAGCACAGAGCTAGCTCACAGAGCCCTCAGTTGCCCTGAGGGGCCTCAAGCACAGGTTTCAAGTCTGGGTTCTGGTGTCCACTCGCCCACTCCCCCCACATCAGACAAACGCCAATCTGTCTGACCTGCTGTGGCCTCTGAGACATGTTCTATTTTTAACCCCTTCTTGGAATTGGCTCTCTTCTTCAAAGGACCGGGTCCTCTTCCTCTCTGTCCCTCACTGTACCCCAGCTCCCTGTGAAGAGAGAGTTAATATATATTTTTTATTTATTTGCCTTTTGTGTTGGGATAGGTTCGTGTCCAATCCCGGGGGTCTGACGTGGCCATCACAGGTTGGGTGTGTGTACCCAGCAGCCGCGGCTTGGGGGCCTAATGCCCCACCCCTCGCTCTACTTCCTTCCCAGTTTTGCCAACCACTATTCTTTGAGTCACCCTTTACTCTAAGCATGTATTCCAGACTTGTCACTGACTTTCCTTCTGGAGCAGATGGCCCGAACACGAGGCTATGGGCAGGGGAAATGTTCCTATTCTTCATTTGGAAGGCTGGCCTCTGGCTTTTCTGCCATGGATTCTCCCCCTGCCCTCTCCTTTCTCCCCTCAGCAATTCTTGCAAAGGGTTAAAAATTTAACTGGCTTTTACTACTGAAGACTTGACTTAAAAAAATACAAAGATGCTGGATGCTAACTTGATACTAACCATCAGATTGTACAGTTTGATTGTTACTGTAAATATGGTAGAGTTTTGTTGTTGTTGTTTTTTCCATTCCCCATACTACTGAATAAACAGATAGTTCTGTGCAGGCAATGTGATGCCGTCATGTGTTTCTGTGTAATGCTGTCTCCCCAGAAGGTGGAGGCTTGGATGTGGGAACAAAAGACCAGGGCCTGGGAGACACCAGCAGGAAGTCAGAGGACTGGCTGGTTAGCTCACCTCTGTGGATCTCCCCAACAGTGCTCCTCAAACCTTATCATTGCAGAGCCCATGATGAAGTGGGTAGGTGAGAAAATGTCCTAGGCAAGACTTGCAAGGCTGGAGAGGCTGCACAGAGTAGGCAGGTTTTTAACCCAGCCACTTTGTGCTGAGTCCCACACATGAGTAATTTTTCCAGCCAGGATTCTGTAGGTAGGAATGGCTGAATGGCAGGTGGGAGTTTAAGGGTGCTTAGTGATTACATTAAATATCTACCTACTCCACTGCCCTGGGCCATATTCTGTTTTTTTCCATTGGAAAAATGAAGCACTGCTCACATTGAAGCTAAGTATGACCTCTACAGCGTGACTCTCACTGCCACATTTTGTCAAACAGACTAGAAAGGGAGTTCGCATATTATAGGGTGGTGATTACGAACAAAAGCCAGGGAACCAGACTGACTTAGTCTCACTGATAGTTTCTCGGCCTGCAAAATGAGGGTAAGAGCGCCTGTCTAATTGAGCTTTTATGAGGATTAAATGAGTTAACACATGTAAGTTGTTACGAACAGTTCAAAGTGCACAGCAAGAGGCCAATAAACACTGGTTTTCTTTGTTGTTGCTACTGAGGTGTAGAGGGAGGTGGCGATTACCTAGTCAGAAAAACAGAAAGCCAGGTCAAAAGGGGAGGAGGCGAGCAGGTAGCTGGACAAGAAGAGGAGCTGCAGGTGGGAGGCCGGTAGGTGCTGCAAAGTGATGCTGTTTAAGCAAGTTTGGAGTGGGAAGGGCTGAGGGTGGATGCAAAACTGAAGATTGACCCAGAACGTGAACAGAACACGCCTTTCCGTTAAGCCGCCAGGGGGCAGCAGCACATGGATCTGCTGTACATTTTTGCCTCTAAGTGCGAAAGGAAGCCCTGGCTCAAGAGTGGCCTACACAAATATGCGACCTGATAGCCATGCTTAGGTGTGTCCATAGGCTTGCTGACGGGCCAGTGCCTCATCAGACCAGGAAGTCACCAACAGGCCCTGTTCACTAGACATTAGTGCAGGAAGAAGCTGGCATATCTGAGATCTTCTTACTTTATCGCAAATTTCTCCAAAGCCAAACACTCAGCGTTTGTCTCCACAGCCCCCTCCTCACACAAATTCGTAGAATCTCAGGAGCTGCAGGAGCTGCTGCAAGAGGTACACGGAAAAGTGAGTGTCTAGGCACTACTTGTCATTATGGTGCAGGTGCCTGTGTTAAATGAACCTTAAAAAGGGAAGGAAAAAAAAAAAAAAAAAAAAA